AGAGCGCGGGAGAGGGGTCGGGAGCCCGCTCCCAGGAGGGTGGGGCCGGCCGGCGAGAGATCCCGGGGACCTGACTGCACCTGTCAGCGGGGGCTGGCGGGGCGGGGCCGGCTCTTTATTTACCTTTGACTGAGCGAGGGAAGAGAGGCTCCTCCTTATTCTCCCCTCACCTCTGCCTTGCTACCACCCCCTTCTCCCCAACCCCATGCACCCACTCCGCTCTCACAGCTCAACAGATTGATTCAACCTTCTCCCAAACCCCTCAATTTTTCCCATTCCAACTCCAATTTCTCCCGCCTACATGCCCCAGTGACCTCAGGCTGAGAGAATAATTCACATTATTATTACAAACAAACTCACTCTCCTGCAGCCTGATTTCTCTGAGCCCCGATTTATTTCCATGGATACCCCCCTCCTCCTCTGCTTTCACCTCTTCTCTGGGTTCTTTCCCTCCCCCTCCCTGCCCCCCATGGCTCTGACTCAGCTCTCCCTCTCCTACAAAGGCCACCCCCCAGCCCTCTCCCCCTCTGCCCTCCCCATCTCCCTTCTCCTCGCAGACTGTTCCCCGCCTGCCCCGTTCCTGCTCTGTGCGCCCAGATGTCCATCTTTTCTCTTCCCTCCCAGCCACAGCCTCTGGTCGACCCAGGTCACCACTCCCCGTAGCCCCAGGGGAGAGCCTTCCCACTTTGGACGGGTCTTAGCTCTCTCAGACCTGGTAACCGCCATCCCTTCCTCTTGCACTAGCTATGTTACTGCATGCTGAATGCCTCCTGGGGCCCCAAGCCCCTTCAATTCACCCCTTCTCAAGAGTAGACCCCTAATCCTAAATTCACATTCATACAACTTAATGTGCAGAAAGGATCTAAAAGGTCAGATGGTTCCGGCAGCCATCTGGTGCTTGAATCCCGAGCATCTACCACCAAGCGCCTCTTTCCCAAGCCTACCAGTAGGCACACCCTGCCCTCACACCAGCAGTCTCCCTTCACAAGGACCTCTGGCCTGGGCTGTACAATTACCGGCCTCCAGTTTCCCAGTGAGCCCTCAAGCCCTGTCCACCCTCTCCCACTGTCTTTTGTCTTCTCTTTGACTTGAGCTTCTATTCTTTAAGTTCCTGTATCAAAGAGTCCCCTGCTCCCCTCCTGCTGTCCCCTTCACTCCCCTTTAATCCATCACTCATCTCCCCACAGCCAGGGAAAATGATTCCATCTCACTCGCTGCTTCCTCTGCTCCCACTGCTTCTCAGTGAACACAACCAGGTCTTGCCTCTGTCCCCACCAAAACTCCCTCCTGTCACACAAATTCATCAACTCCTATGGAGGGTCCTCCAGGGAAGATACAATCCTTCCACCTCACAAATAACAAAGCCAACACTTAGGGAAGCTTGCTCCTAGAAGAGTTCTGCCCTTACTCGTAGAAACATAACAGAGGACAAGTGTCATTCCCACATACTTCCCTACAGAAGCTCTCAGAGGTTCCCCACGACAGAGTGGAGCACTATTTTCCCGCTGAAACCCAGCCACTGCCTCTTCCATTTAAACAACAAATAAGGCCGTAGAACACTTTTTCTGGGTGGGCCAGGCCTTTTATTTTTGTAATTGAAGTGTAGTTGATTTACAATGATGTGTTAGTTTCAGTTGTACAGCAAAGTGATTCAGATATATATATATATATATATTCTTTTCCAGATCCTTTTCCATTATAAGTTATTAAAAGATCTTGAGTATAGTTCCCTCTGCTATACAGTAGGTCCTTATTATGAATGTGCTGTTTTTGGTTGAGCTCAGCATTATCATCTCTCCTACCAAAACTCTGAGGAGAGTAGGGATGTGAAAGGAAACAGGCAATTAGAAGAGGAAGCAGTAGCTGGAGGGAAGGGAGGGGTTGGCAGGGGCTGGCCCCCATTTGTGGCCTCTGCATTCTGAAGGAAAAGAACGGGGAGGGGCTTTTGGGGTGGACACAGGGAGGTGAAAGGGGAGGAACTAATCATCTGTCCACCTTAGGAAATGAGGTGATCGCAGTCGACTGGAAGGGCCTGAAGGATGTGGACCAAATCAACATGGACAGCACCAGCTCGCTGCATGGGAGCAGCCTCCACCGGCCATCGACCGAGGTGAGGCCCTCCGTGCTCAGCTCTCCTCCCAAAGAACCTCTAAAAGTCCCCGGAACCACCATGCACAAAGCCTCGTCCTTCCTGTCATCGTCCTAAATTCCAGGACAACATCCCAAACATGCCTTCAGACTGAACCTTTCACGGAACATTTCTCCTCTCCTCCAACACAAGCCAAATGCACCACCCTGAGACCCTAATTCCCTGCATTAATCTCAGGAAAGTCCTCTCTACTCCACACTCTTCTGGAAGGCGAGGTTACTTGCATTCCTGGAAGTGCCTGAGATACCCACTCCCTTTGCTCTCTCCTCACAGCAAACCCGGACGGATTTCTCCTGGGATGGCATCAATGTGAGTGCAGCTTCCCCCAGACCTCCCCAGTCCACCCTAACTCCTCCTCCTTGTGCTCTCCCTTAGACCTGCCCTAGGACATAGTGCTCCCTGGCTCCAGCAGGCACTGCGAGCCTTCCCAGTCTTACATACCCCCAAAATTTCAAGGGTGCTTGGGGGATAGGCCTCCTTGGGACTCCTGGGTATAATGGTTTCCTTATCACCTGCCCTAGCTCACATCCTTCCTCCTGGAAGCCATGGACTGTCCTCCACATATAAAGCACCCCATACCCTCTTATTCTTCTGCCCCTCCTCCCACATCCCCTACCCCAGCTCTCCATGGAGGACACCACTTCCATTCTTCCGAAGCTTAAGCGAAACTCTAACGCCTATGGCATTGGGGCCCTGGCCAAGTCATCGTTCTCAGGTGAGACTCCCGACCTGGGGATGCATCAGACAGAAGACTACCTGTAGGCCCCTGGTCTCAGTCTCCCTGTTCCTCCTGGCCTGAAGAAGACTTTCATCCCCATACCCCTGACCTATTTGCCCTTTCTATCAAGCCTCCCATCCTCCAGCCACCCCTCGGGTATGGAGCCTTGGGGCATCCCTGCCCCTCTTATGAGACTAGGGTGGGGATAATCAAAGGGGTCTGGTATGGGTATTGTGTGATGTTCTGGAGGATGTGGGGAATGTCTGGCCCCTCAGGGATTTCTCGAAGCATGAAGGACCACGTGACAAAGCCCACAGCCATGGGGCAGGGCCGGGTGGCCCACATGATTGAGTGGCAGGGCTGGGGGAAGACACCAGCCATTCAGCCGCAACACAGCCACGAGGCCGTGCGCAGGGATACAGATGCCTACTCCGACCTCAGCGATGGTGAGAAGGAGGCACGTTTCCTAGCAGGTACTTATTCCCCAACTCCTTAATAGACACATTTTCAGTATGGCTGGAGACCAACCCTCCAACCTGCTCCCCTATGGCAGGACTGGCTCTGTCCATGTGATGACCATCAGACAATTTCCCAGCTAGCTCTAATTTCAAGGACTCAGACTTGTTAATTCTGCTAAGAGCCCTCAAGCTTATTTATATTATTGTCTCAGAAATTGAGGGGAATTAACATGGGATTATGGGTCCACTTGATGCCTTCTCTCCTAAATGGTGGGACTATCCAACCCCCGAATTCCCTCAGTACAGGAAAAAGAAGCTGGGGCCTTAGACTTCAGAAAGCTCTGCTTCTACTTATGTTTCTTGATGAGAAGGAAAGAAAAGCCTTGAGGTTCTCTTCTAGCCTTTGCCCATCTGCACATTGCAGTCATGAATTCATGTACAGGGCTCATTATCATGACAACCACCAGAAGATCGAGGGACCTGGGTGAGGAGAGGGGGCGTCCAGAAGAGCTTTGATTCAGTGCAGGTGTGAGGCAGGCGTATAGTCTACCTACAACTCTGGCCTAGAAACTTTCAAAGATAAAACTTTTGGAAATCCCCAATTTCAATCTCTTAGAATATCTCACCAGAAGGTCCCCAAATCTTGCCCCTAAGAATCTTAAATCTGACATTCTGGAAAGTCCCCCATGATTTTGCCTTGTTTTGGGACATATACAAAGGCTCCAGTGTCCAATACAGTAGCCACCGGCCACATATAGCTATTGAGACCTTGAAACGTGGCTAGTCTGAGTGGAGATGTTGTAAGTGTAAAATGTCGACTGGCTTTCAAAGACTGCATATGAATCAAAGAGTATAAAACATCTCAGTAATTTTTATATGGATTACATATTGAAATGATAATCTTTTATATATTTTAAATTAAATAAGATGTATTATTGAAATTAATTTCACCTGTTTCTTTTTAATTGTCTTTAATATCTTTACTAGAAAATTTTAAATTGTGTAAGTGGCTTGCATTATATTTCTACTGAACAGAGCTACACTGATGTCCCCCGACCCCATGCACGTGTCTAGGCTTCCCAGAGGTAACTTGTGCTAACTATATTTCTTCTCGCAGGTGTCATGGAACAGTTTGCTATCTCTGAGGCCACTCTCATGGCCTGGTCTTCTATGGATGGTGAGGACATGAGTGTCAACTCCACCCAGGAACCATTGGGCTGCAACTACAGTGACAACTACCAGGAGCTGATGGAGAGTCAGGGTGAGGGATGATGGTTCCAGAACCTGACCCCTGAGGCCTCAGAGGCCTCTTCAACCATCTAGACTACCTCCATTCACCTTTGTTCTAAGACTTCCTGTTCATATCAGCTTCCCTACTCCCCTCCCTCCTCCACGCCTCACCCTCAGTTCTTTGTGCTGTTGTTACTGCCTTTGAGAGTCTGACCCCAGTGACATCCGTGATTCTCTTTACAGATGCCCTCGGTCAAGCCCCAATGGATGGATGGCCTCACTCCTATGTGTCCCAGGGCATGTACTGTCTGGGGTCATCAGATGCCTGGGAAGCAAGCGACCAGTCCCTCATTGCCTCTCCAGCCACAGGATCCTATCTTGGCCCTGCATTCGATGACTCACAGCCTAGCTTACATGAAATGGGGCCTTCCCAACCTGCTTCAGGTTACTCTGCTCAGGAGCCTCCACCTTTGCTGGGGGGAGACACTGACTGGGCTCCAGGGGTGGGCGGAGTGGACCTAGCAAGGGGCCCTGCTGAGGAGGAGAAGAGGCCGTTGGCCCCCGAGGAGGAAGAGGATGCGGGATGCCGGGACCTGGAGTCACTTTCCCCACGAGAAGACCCCGAGATGTCCACCGCTCTCAGCCGGAAGGTGTCTGATGTCACATCCTCAGGGGTGCAGTCCTTTGATGAGGAGGAGGGCGAGGCGAACAACTAGCTTCCTCTGACGCCACGCCCTGCCTTCCACTCCCACCCGAGGGGCATGGCTGCAGCAACATCCTCCCTCCCCCAGCAGTATAGCTGCAACTGGAACAGAAGACCTAGAGGAGCCCAGGAGCTGCCAATCCTCGCCAGCAAAACGGAGGGCCAGGCTGGGATTTTATCCAGGCTTACGCTGTGGAACCCACAGGTCCAGGAACTGAGGCGCAGGCAACTAGATGGCTGTGAACTTCACTTGGCTGCCGGCTTCTGGGTCTGTGATTGTGTTCTGGGCACAGGAGCGCAGAATGGCTCATGGCCGTCCCCAGGATCTCAGTTCACTCCCTGCTCTCGTCTTCCTGCAGCCCTGACTGTGGCTGTCTGAAGGCCTCCTTTCTCCATGCCACTCTTGCTTTTCCCGACTCTTTTCTCTGGCTGTGGCCCAAGCTCATCTCTCATATGAGGAACAGACCTCAGGGGCTGGGACGTGGCTCAGTGGGCACAGGAGAAGCAACTAAAGACCACGTCTCCTTGAAGGGTGGAGATCTGCCCTCAGAGGAAACTTGGCTTCTGGGATCAGGAGTCTCGGAGGAGGTGGGCGTGGCAGCCGGGGCACAAACATGGTTCTTTCTCTCAAGGGCTGCCCAGAGACCAGGCCGTCACTGGTGAGACCGATAACAAACGTGGCCACTTGTTCTGGGATCTTGAGTATCCTGTAGCCAAAAGGAGGACCCTAAGGATCTGAGAAGGGACCCCACCAGGGCTGGCTTCTCCAGCTCCTGCTTCCCTCTTCTGCCTTCTTCCATCCCCCGCCTGGGAGCCCAGGGCTGAGCAGGTGACAGAATGCAGGTGTCCTGGCCAGACAGGGAAGCATGAAGCTGTGTCTCCCTCCAACCACCCCCTAATTCTCTGGAGCTGTTTACACTTTTCTCTTTGCCTTTTCTACATTTTTATAACTTCTTGGGGACTCAGGGTGGAGTAGGGTGGAGGGAGGAGTCCGGTGCTGTCAGGTCCGGGCGGGACAGGGTGTTTGCCGAGGAGCGGCCGGCGTGGGCTCCCCGTGCTCCTCTTCGCCTCCTCCCAGGCCTCCCAGGGGGGCCGCGCAGGTCCCCCTCCCTCCCTAGGCCTCCTGAGGAGGAAGAGGAGAATCGGGGTATTCCTCTTTCCAGGACGGGTTACACTGAGACACACACCCCTGAAACTGCTCGCCCTCCCGCACCCACCTTCCATTCTGGTGGGGACTTCCGCGCAGCACGTGAAGCCCCGGCGCTTCTGTAAAGGGCCCGGACGCAGGGGCCAGGGTGGACGGGTTGACGGGAGAGGCGGCAGCAGCGCACTGCCCCTCCCCTCTGCAGTGGTGCCCCAGAACCTGGGCAGGAGAGACACACTGAGAGGGTCCTTGTCCCACCTCCCTCTTTTCTCACGCCCATCTAAAGCTCCGGCTCCGAGGCCTCGTGTCCCACCCGAACTGTCAGGGGTCCTGCTACTTGTTTCCCCTGCCCGGAAGGGAGCACTGCGGCCCTCTCTCGGGACCTGGGCACACACCATCCTCACCCCCAGGCTCCAGACTTCTATTTCCTCGGAATGAGGAGGCTGAAAGTTGGGGTGTTTCTGTCCATCTACGACCCCGCCCCTGTCCATCGCGTCCACACTCTCATGCACATGCGCACGCGCCTGAAATGCAACCAAGGCCGGGTCCCATGTCATCGGGGGAGGGGAGGGTGACTGCCTGAGGTTGGTTCTTGGAGGAAACAGGAGCAGGCAAGGTGAGCACAGGTAGGTGAAGTCACCTCGTCTAAAGCTGTGGGTTGTGTGAGCCCGTGACCCGGCGTGGGCGGCCCTCGCCGCCGGCCCCGCCCCGCACGCCTGCCGCAGGTCCCTGGGGCTTTGCATGTCACAGTTCCCTCCTCTCACGGGGTCAACCCGCCCCCTCAGTGCATCATCCTTTCCTCTTAGTCTCACTCCCTTCGTGCCCCACATTCCGCCCCCAAACCGCAGTGGACATCCAGTCTGAGCGGGTTCATTCATCACAGTTCCTTTTTTGCTCAGGGCCCTGTGGGGTTAGGAAAGGTCACCTAAAGGAGCGTTCTTTCCTCCCTCCTTCCCCGAGGAAGCCAAACGATTCCTGCCGATCCCTGCCGATCCCTGCCAAAACATGATTACAACTCTGAAGGGCTCTAGCAGAGTTGGGACGTTAGTGGGGCGGCATCCCCAGGGTGCTGGCATCGCTGCGGACCAGAGGTTGGGTGGAGGGGTCTGCATTTTGCAAGAAGCTCCCCCTCCACTCTGAAGAGGGAGAAGACCCGAGGAGCTGGCCTGGGACCCTCTTAGGACTCTTCTGGAGGGAGGAACTGCCTCTGGTGCTGGGGGCAGGGTGCATGGGGTTTGCTTATAGCCTATTTTCTGGGGAGGGGAGGGGCATGTGCAGGAAGAGGCTGTTGGGGGTGGGGGAGGGTTGCTTTTCCTTTGGGGTTAAAGGCTGTGCAGCACGTTTTACAACAGCCCCAGAACAGGGCTGTTTTTATATCATTGTGAATGAAACTTCTCTTGCTAAGTGCTTTTCTTTTGGTGGGGGGTGCACTTTTATTTTCAATTCATTTTATTAAAGGAAAATCCAAATCTTCCATTGCTCCCCTCCCGCTGTCCCCCGCTCCCCCACATACACGTTCCTTCTTATCCTTGTGGTAAGGAGGGAACCTTGGTGAATGAGTTTATCACCTCTCCTCACCCCTACATCTCATCCCACTCTCCGTCTTCCAGGTCTGGGGAATCCCCATTTTTATGGCCAGTCTTAGCATGTTTTCTTAATGTGACATTTCCTCCCCAGGCCCAAGAGAGATTCTATGACATATATTACAGAGAGAATTATATATAAATAGATATATTATAGATTATATACACATGGGCATGGGCTCCAATGCCCACTGCTAGCCCCCTCCCCAGGCTGCAGCCTCTCTCTCTCTTGGCCTGGGGAGGGGGGAGGGATGTATTGTTGGAGAGGGCTCCTGGCTGTGTTCAATGGCACTAAACAGAATGTGGTGGCACCTTTGACTATGAGTGTCTTATTTGGGGCATGATGGAGGCCGGGTATGGGGTGGGGAAGGAGGAGAATGCAGGGGATGGGGCACAACAGCAGAACTAAGGAAGGCATAAAAGGAGGGGAGGACAAAAGAGCTGGATGTGGGAGCAGGAGTTTCTGGCTGCTCAGAGCACCTGGGACCACTTGGAGAAAAGGCAGGGTGATGGCAGGCTCCCTGTTGCTGATTTGGGGTGACAGGGATCTGACATCCCAAGTGCGGGAAGCATCAGAGAGGTCTGCCATCTTGACATTGAACCCCTAGAAGAGGAACACAAATAACCAGTCCCTAAGAGGGGCTAGTATCTGGGTGAACCAGTGGCCCAGCTGCCCTGAGCCTTGGTTCTTGGCAGGAGAAGCCCCAGCTAGAACAGCTGGAGGGCAGAGCTGACTCACAGGCAGAACAGAGCAACAACTACAGTGGCAGAGGGAGTGACCTGGAAACTGGAGGAAGCTGTGGTGTGAGATGGGGGAACTTCTGCCAGAGGGAGTTAAACAAATCCACTGGGGCCGCAGGACCATTTGGCCACAAGGCACCGCCCCTTCCCCACGGAGCCTTCCTGCGACCTTGCTCCTCGCAGGCTGTTCCCCCCGATAGTCTCTTTATCCACCTTTCACTGCTTAAATGGAGGACAAAAGAGGGCGAAACGGGATTGGCCTTCCACCACCCTGGTAATAACCCTGCGTGGGGGCAGACAGTGGGAGCCACATGGAGTCTGGAGGCCGACTTCAGGAAGTGGCTGTGGGCAAGTGGAGGACAGGGTGGGGGGCTCTGAGAGAAGGGGCCGTGGACAGTTTGTGAGTATATTCTGGGGCCATCAGTCCATAAGGCCATGAGGTGGTCCCATCTCCTCCTCCAAAATGGCACTGGCAGGCCACAGTCCCTCTACCCCTGCCTGGGGAAACTGATGGGCAGATAGGCAAGGCCAGAAAGATATCAGGACAAGAACACTGGGGAATTGTTGGGGAGTGAGGGGAGCCAGAGAGAGGCAGGTACTCCCCACACATGCACAGGCAAACTCAGGGAGAACATGGAACATCAAGGGCCCTTCACAGGGGTCAGAACCACCTGCCTGTCTGGGGATGGGGGGACACGGCCCAAATCATTGACCAAGGCTACACCCTGCCCAAATTCTGGCCCCTCCTCCAAAACTATCACTATCACAATTTAAAATTCCCAGCAGGGACCAGATACTGGTTCAATCTCTCCAACTTCAAGACATATCCTCTCCCACACAGAGCTACCCTCTGGCCCAGGTCTCTGGACAGTCTTTATGAGGAGGTCCAGGAAGTGGTCAAAGGATCAGTTCATCCTCATCCTCCTCATCGGTGGATCGCAGACTGGGGCCCTGCAAGATATCAGCCAGCTCCTCTTCCGGCCCCGGACTCTCCACCAGCTCCAGCTCCTCCAGGTCACCCTCCGCCTTGGCTGGAGCCCGGGAGAGAGGGGGCTCTGGTGAGGGGGATGGCACCGGGGTCTCTGGGGAGGCAGGAGCCACATCCCCTGCCCCAGTGGCCCCAGTTTCATCCTCTGGCAGGCTCCAGGCATCTGCAGGAGGGAGCGGGCCCCCAGGATTCTTTCGAGTCGAAGTTGTACTCCGGAAGCTGGCGAGGGGAGGGCGGAGCTGCACCCCAGACTTGGTGTGCCCCTCAATGGCCTTCTGCAGCTGGGGAGCAGAAGGGAGGGGAGAGCACAAAATTGGGAAGAAAAGAGGATGGGAGTAGTGAGAGATACAGACACCAGACACAAGAGACGAACAGAGAACAGAAACAATAAAAGGAAAAGGAATGGGAAAGAAATTGAGTAGCGAGAAAGGTGGACAGCAGGGAGGAATCAAAGGGAGAAGACAGAAAAGGGAAAAGAGGGTGTGATGGCTGAAGAGCCCCACCTGCAGAGCAGTGAATCTCAAGACCCCTGACCCAGGTCCTCCTTCGGCCCCTTCTTAGTGACCCTCAGGCCTCCTTCAGTCACTTCCTATCTCCTCCCTCTTTCCCCACCCCACATAGTGCACCCTTATGAAGCCACGACTCAGGCCCTGAACCTCCATCCTCAAACCCATGAGGTCCATGGAAGATCACAGGACCACACAGCCTTTGCCATCCTCTCTCCCTCCGGCCGGCTGCACCCCATCCCTCTCCAGTCTCTGCATGAGAAATAGGAGGAGAATCTGGGGGATCTCCCGGATGTTAAAACCATCCTCCCCACCTCACCTCCTTATCTGGCGCCCACCCCTTCCTCCTGCTGCTCCAATGGGACGACATCCACTCTTACCTCCTCCAAGGCCAGCACACCCCTGAGCTTCCCCATGCTGGTCACATAAGCAAGGTGGAGGCCAAGAAGGGAGAACAGCGTGTGAGTCTGCGAGGAAAGAGCAGCAGGTCAGAGCGCAGGGCCCCATATCTCCCCGCCCCCTCAGCAGCCAGTGTGCGGTGGGCGAGGACTTGCCTTGTGCAGAGACGTCTGCTCCACCAGCTGGAAGGGAGACTGGTCAATACAGCAGCAGTCAAAACAGACAGGCTGGCTCAGCTGCTCCTTCTCCCAGGCCTCAATCTGTCGGCAGAGGAGGGCCGTCACCCAGTAGCAGAGCCCCGTTCAACCTCAGATCCACAGTCTTAATCCCAAACAGCCCTCCTAGCCCTGGTCCATGAGCCTGAAATCTGCAATGGACTATCACAGCTCCTCCAGATCAGGAGCCTCCTCCCTTCTCCCCAGGGGACGGCACCCTCCTTCTGCCCCCATCAGGCCCCAAATCGACCTTCACCCTCAGGCACTCAGAACATGGTTCCTTCTTCCACCCTCTGGCGCTCCAAAGGCTTCTTCTTTCCTACTCATCTTTCCAGTCTTATTTCCCACTGCTCCAGTAATACCCACAGCTCCAGTCAGACCAGACATGCTTCTGCTTCTGCAGCTGCTGGCCTGGGTTTCCCTAAGGGCCCCACCCTGACCCCACACCCCACTCCCTACACTCCCAGTCAGATGTGCCATGTTTCAGGTCCCCTAGCGCTCTGCGGGGCTGCTCTCCTTTTCAGTAATGGCACGGGTCTTGCTCCATCTTACACTGGCACTGGCCTTGGCTCTGCCTACCAGACGGAGCTGCTCCGGAGTGTTGTGTGGCATCACTCGCTGTGTGTTGCGGAGAAGGCAGCACATCGGCCTTTTACACAGCAGATCACAGTGAAGACTTGTTGCATTTGAAGAGCTGGACTGGGTCACATGGCACCTAGCTGGCTTGAACAAGCCATTCTGTGTGTGTGTGTTTGGTTTAAATTAGGTGTTTGGTTTTGTCTCTGATCAAAGCATGAAGGCACAAAGTCCAACTCTCCTCTGGATTTTAGATTTGCAAGCCAAAATCCCCAAGATTCCAAGCAATCCAGTATCACTCTGGCTCTTGTAAGTGAATTTAACATTTTCTCTAATCTCTTTTCAGGCTGTCCCCTCTGAAGGACGTACTGCTTTCCTTTGCTTTTCTATTTGTCCACATTTACACGTCTCAAGCTTCAGAGGACACCACCGAAGGCCATCCCCTAGTCCTCGTGTCCAGTGCTTGCTCCACAGTGATGATTCTCCATCTGGTCGGTCCTGATTTTTCTGGACTGCAATCACACCTCCTCTAAACTCTCACTTTCCCTGACTAAAGGTTCACACACAGCTGGGCACCTCTCACAGCACAGGATGGATGACCACTTAGCAGGTACATTGCAGAGAGAATTTACTTGTAAGACAGGGAGGCAGGCCTTTGCCCACCCTGGATTGGTTGATCCTGTCCTCCTAGACCTTTCTGTGATCATCTCTGGCCTCCGTGGTTCCATTTATGCCTGCCTTTAAGGAACAACAGTAGCAGAACCACCTCCAGTGCACGTGTACCAAACACCTTCTCTGCACGAAGCAGTATTCTAATCACTTTATCTGTCTCCACTCACTTAATCCTCTTCAACAACTCTATCATTACTTCCATTTTACAGATGGGAAAATGGAAGCACAGAGTGCTTAAGTGTTTGCCCAAGATGACACAGAGGTGGCCTTCTGACCTTGACTGCCGAGCGATCATGCTCCAGGACCCCCAGCTTTTGTCTACTCCAGGTGTGATGTCTTCCACATGAAAAAGCTCAGCGTCAGATACAAACCGGGGCACTAGCCATGTGTGTTCCTAACAGAGCAGCAGAATTAAACAAGTCGTAGCAAGGACTTCTGGCGACCTAGAATTGAATTATTTCACTGTTCCCAGAGGTATCATCTTGATATTGCCAAGGGTGTCATCTTGATCTAGTCTGAAAACCGCGTTCAAAATATCCTGAAGTTTGACTCCTACTGAATCTTATTTCTCCAAAATGGCTCAGTGGGTCCCCTGGGAGTTGAGAGCTGCCTAACGTCTTCCTTGAGAAAGACACCAGCTAAAAACATATGAGCTCTCTTCTTTTTATCCCCGATTGCCCTTTATTTCCAGCGGTCATTAAATAACCTCACTGATCAATGAGCCGGCTTTTTCTCTTTGATGTATCCAAAAAAGTATTGTTGGTTTCAGTGTCTAGTGAGGTGCTCTTTAATTGTAGCCATGACCCATCTGATCCCTGCTTGTAGGCAGAAGGAAGAGTTGGATTTTTTTTTCCCTCTGTGATCCTCCATTTGATTTTTCAGGTCATTTATCAAAAATGTGTGTGTTTTGAGGGGTGTTATGGGGAGAAGGGGAAAACATCCTTTCCCTCTTGTCACTCACCACCCTTTCCTCCAGCCCTGAGTACTTTAGATTTTTAGCACGTGTTTATGCTGGATATCCAAATAGATGTTTATTTAAAGATAATATGCATTGTGGTATTTCATCAGCTACATACTTTTAAAGCTCTACCTTGCAGCCTCTGCAGCAAGCGTGTATTCTTTTTTCACTAAACGGAATGGTTGCTAACGGATTTTTTTCTTTTCTTTCTTTTTTTTTTAAATTGAGGCATAGTCAATGGATTTTGTTGGTGTCTCTCCACACCCGAGAGCAGTTTTGGTCAGCACAGCTCAGCCGCCTGCTTCCAATCGCTGGGCCACATTCTGTTCACTGCTCACAACCAAACCCACTCAACGCTGGATTTTCTCTCTCATGGACTCCATAACTACTTCCTTTAGGAAGTAGGCATTTGTCCCCACAAGGCACCGCTGTCAATATTTGCTCTCAGTTTGTGGTCCTTCCCAGTCTCGCTTCTTGAAATTTTCCAGTTGTCCACTATCTCCGGGCCCTGATCAATCCAGCATTGAAACCTCACCAGGCACTGATTTCCCCATTTTAGTTTCAATGCTGTTCTTCCACATCAGTTTCAGCAAGTGCTGGCCGTCCAGTGAATGTTACAGCAGGTAAATCTCGTCCTTCCCTCATAGTCTCTGCCAGGTCCAGAATATCCCTAAGGTCTAAAAGGTCTAAGACTCATTCTAGCACCATGGGGCCATCTACATATGGAAGCTCAAAACCTCCCTCTTCTGAAATGACATTGGTCCCCCTGAGAACACCACCAGCATGTGCCCCAACCTCCAAGCAGTGTGCCCAGAACCCTCTCCATAGTCATTTACAACCTCTCAAAACGCTCTCCTGAAAAAAAAACCAAACTCTCCTGCCTAGACTTGCATCTTACTCTTACAACAACACAATGAAGAAGGTCGAAACAATGAGCAACGTCTTCATTTGACAAAGCAGTCCACCCCACATTGCTGTTCCCCTTACTTACCTCTTCAGGTGACATGTTATCCACTAAATCCGTTGAGTCCTAGAGAAAAAAGCATAGGTCCAAGTTCCTTCCCCTTTCCTTCCTATTGGGAACTTAGCCATCCCTCCCTGACCAGGACACAGATGTCTCTTTCCAACCCCTTGTCCCTTCCATACGAGGAAGGGTCTCCTCGTTGCTGGGACCTCTTCCCTCCTGACTTATGGATCACAGGTTTCTCACTCGTCAAAGACAAGTCCCCTTTCCCTCATCCCCCGACGTGGACACATCTCCTCTCACCTGGGTCACTTTCTTCTTTGTGGGGCGAGCTCTGCCCAGCAAGCAGCTCAGCAGGGACCGAAAGATGGAGGGTCTCTGACCTGAGAGGAGTGGTGAGTGGATGGAAATGGAAACAAAGCAATATCCATCCTGGGAGTCCCTGACATTTTGCTGCAAAAGGTCCTTCTCTCACATACCTCACCCCCATAGACACTCTTTCTTCGACCCTCCTCGTCCAGCCCTTGCCCCCATGCCTTGGGACAGTAACATGGAGACTCAATGAAAAGAACCCCCCACCACCATCACCACCATCCCCTGGCCTCACCCCTCCTCACAGTAGTAACCCGTAGGTTGAGGAGTGCCCAGAGATAACCCACAAGGCATGAGGCAAGGGTGAGGGGCATGATGGGAGAATCTTCACCTGCAGGCTCCGGTGCTTCCAGCTGCTGTTTGTGGCTGGGCAGGGGCCCATTAGGCTCTTCAGAAGGCAGTGGGGCAGTAGGAAAGGGGTGAGGCGAGGGAAGAGGAGGCAGCTGTAAAGAATAGTAAAAAGTCTCAGTCCTAGAGAAGCTGCCTAGTACTTTCCTGCCTTTACCAGCTGGTGTCCTGGGAAATCTATCTAATGCTATTCTTCCCCCGTCAGAAGTCCCCTATCCCTTTGAATTCTCCTGCTACCATCATCTGCAACCTTATCTCCTTCAGTCCCTGGACCCAGGGGCACTAGTGTCTTTGACTTTGTCAGTGATCAGCATCTAACCCTCCCCTTTTCTACTTCCCCTTTGTCTTGATCTGTCCTGTTCCCCTAGCCCTTCCCGGCGTGGTCACCTCCGGCTTCCCATAGAGGTCCTCATCTTCATCCTCATCCACAAAGGCGAAGGACTCAGGTCGACCCTGGGGCCCGATGCCACGGCGCCCCTGCCCAGCCAGCCGCGCCTTCCCGTCGAAAGGCAGCTCAGACAACTTCCTCGCCATGTCCTGGACTGCCCGCAGCCTCCGCTCAGGACACAGGTGACGCTGCAGGAGGGACTGCAGTTCTGACCGCTCCACGGAGCCCAGCAGGATCATTGACTCTGGGGGAGATCTGAGATCAGCCTGAGGGCCAGCTCAGCTCCCCCTCTCACCCTGCGCAGCAAGATGAAGTCAGGGACAGAAGCCCAGCACCCCCGTCTTCAGATCCTACTGTCTCTTCCTAAAAATTCATTTCAAAAGTCTTTCAGGATTGACCTCACTCGATCCCTTTTATGTCACTCATTTAGAACTTGTAGACCCAACTGATAGCACACTAATTGATGCTAATTCATATTTATTTTGATGCAGCCTTTACACAGACTGTTTGCAAATAGGCGAAATTGTTATTAAAATAGGCAAATCAACACTGTCTCCAATAAAAGAAATATCAAAAGCCATTCATAGACAGAGATGTGAATATACTTTGAAAGACGTCTACAAGGATAACTGATACTTCATCACTGAAAGATTCTGGCTCCTACTAGATGTCAATAAAATGCCCACATTTCCTGGGAAGGTCTTTTATATCTTTATCAGCATTCTGCTACTATAATTACCATTTTCATTAAGTTTTAAGGCCACAAGACTGTGGCAGTGTTACTGAGACAAACCTCACTATTAGGTCTTAGTCATTGTTATAGAAGCCCTCACCTCATCGGCTGTACCTCTGTTCCAATGAGAAGTCACTGCTTTAGAGACCACTGAAAAGGTGTTTGGGGTTTGGGAAATTATTTGGAAAAATATTAAAACTAATCTAACCCGGGCAATTCAGATACACTGATGATCTGAAATCAGAACTAACCATTTAAATGGCTCCAAATGGTCCTACATGATTGTCTCTATTATATTCATTCAAACATTACACAAGTGTTTATCTGATATCTACTAACTACTGATAAGGAGGCGGTCTGAGGGAGACAGGCGTTATAGTGTCTGCCCTCAAGAACAACCAGCCTAGTGAGGGAGATAACACACAGTTATACAGACCACAGTAAGAAATAATATAAAGCAGGACCAAGTGCCGAAGGTGGGGGGGAAGGATCGTGAAAGAGGTGAAACCACTGCTCATTAAACCCGTCCACTCCTTCATATGGAACAATTTCATTTGTTCCTCAAATTGTAACGAACAGCTATCATTTAGTTAAGCAGCAAAGAGGACCACGTAAGAGGCTGTAAGACTGACAGCTGAGCCTCATTTGCAGATTCCCTATTTACAAACTCACCTACTGGCTAAGATATATTTGTATCCCCAAGTAAGTCCTGGCGACGCTCACCCCCTCACTCACAGCATATGCAGAGTAGAAAAAAAATCTGAGCCACCCCGCTCCAAACAGATTTCCAGCTGAGTCTGAACAAAGTAAAGCTGTGCCTTTTTTTTTTCCCCAGCTTTCATATTATAAGCAAGTATTCCTTTCCTGGTCTCATTGAATGCCAAGCTTTTTGCATTTTTGTGTTTTGTGTTGGTGATTTTGCTGTTTAAAATTGCCCCCTAGCAAGAAGGCTGCGATGTGACTTAAGGAGAAAATACGTGTGTCAGATAAATTTTGTTCAGCCATGAGCCATCATGCTGTTGGTCGTGGTGAATTCAATGTTACTGAATTAACAACAGATAGTATATAGGATGTCTTAAAGGAGAAACATACACATAAGCAAGTGTATGCTTTGATTACTTGAAAAAAATGTGGTGACCAGAAGTTTGCAGGAACCTAACCCTGTATTTCCTCTAGGAGCAATGGTTCAGTATAGTATCCCTAATTCAGTGTTAATGGTGACTTTATAGAACATAACTACAAGGAATAATGAGAATCAACTGTATTTCTTTAATTGGATCTTTGTCTTCTTGTGCTTGTGTTGTGGCCATGTTTTTCCTTCCTTGAAGATGACATGTTCCCTAAGGAGCACAGGCTGGGTGCTCCCTGTAGCAGACTGGGTGGCCCCTACAGACAGGCCCATACCATAGTGCCTCCTCCACTTCTGTGGAGCCTTAGCTCAGGTCATTAACTGCTTCCTTCCTTCCCACTGACCTTTTGAATCGACCAGTGGTAAAGTCTTGACCGTGGTGGTCTGGAGCAGGGTTTGCAATTCCCCATACGTGCAGGAAGCTGAAACAAACTTCACATCACGTACCATGATGTCCTCAACAAAGATCGTAAATTTGCTATGGAAGGAGAAAGCACGGGGGGTTAGCCCCACCATATGCCTGTCCCTTTGCTGTCCCTTCCATTCCTCCTGTGATGCTTGCCATGCATTTGATCACGTATAATATTTATTAAGTACATGGGAATATAAAAATAATTTTAAAAGCAATGCTTCCAGATGTTGACCCTAACCTCATTCTCAGTCTTGGAACCTCCCACCCCAACCCCATCAAATCAGAACTAATTCCAGCTGGTGCCCCTGACCTGAGCTGGTTCCAACCAAGGTCAGGCAAGTAGGGTAGCTTCTTGACCTGGATGATGCTGTCATAAAGGGAGGGCTGCAGGCTCTGAGCCACCATGTTGGCCAAGATAACAGCCACCATCATGGGTAGGATGTGAGCAATCTGACCCGTTAATTCGAAGCAAATCACGGCTGTGGAGACTGTGTGGGACACTGCGCCAGTCAGCGCTGCTGCTCCTAAAATGAGACACAGGACTGTGGGTTAGGGGCGCCGTTCTTCGCATGGAGGCTAAGTGGGGATGTAACGGGAGGGAGCTAGAATCTGGAGACATGACCCTGGTCAGTGCCAACAGTCACTGAGATAACCAGTTGTCAAGAGCAGGGGCCAGAATGCTGAACAGTTAGAAAATCATCATTTTGATCTCATTCTACGACCTTTGGCAATTTACAAAAATGTATGAGTGCCCAGTTTTTCATTTGTAAAATAAAGATAGTGATGTGCTATCTACTCCTTGCTTTTAAAAAGTTTGGATCACTCTTAACTGAGCATTTAAAAGCCCATTTACAGCATTTTGCTTTGGACCTCAGGTTTTGATGCCAACAATTTATGAGTGAATAGAGTCAAAACCCAGGAGCAATGGAACCCTGATTCTACTGTTTCTCAACTGTACGAGTAGAACTTGATTCTTCTGGAACCCCACGCTCTCATCTCTAAGGTGAAAGGGGTCATTAAATCAGTTCTAAGGCCCTTGTAGATCTAAAACATGATTCCATAAGCTCTTTGAAGATAGACTCTGCCTTACTTGTTTTTGGTTATGTTTTCCCACCAACCCAAACAGGCCCTAGTGCATTAACTGTATTTCTTATTTAAATATTGGGGTGGGGATAGTCTATGAGAAAAGATGCTGGGGAAGCCATACATGAAAATGGACAAGAAAAAGTCACAAAAGGAAAATATCAGGGGTATGAGTCTACTGGATGGTGCACACAATATACTCCAGAACATGAACTGACACAGGAGATACGTATACTGGGAAATGTTCACCAGCAAGCTTGTGGGGATACCTGACAGGTGTGAGGATGGGGAATTAGAGCAGGCGACTCTTCCTGGGGAAAGAGGCTTTTGCAAAGAACTATGGTGGGGAAGTAAGGTTGCCTATAAAGCTGATGAGCTCTTCTATATTAAAGGGAGGCACGGCTTTAGATTCTATGAGATTTCAGTGAAGAGAGGAGGGAGGCAGCAGGCATAATGATTCTGGGGAATATACTGGTCCCTCTTAGACATGGTTTTGGTTGGCTAGGACTATAGATTTAATGGAAAATGATCTCAGACTCTCAGAATGTTAAGGCTGTAAGCTATCTCAGAAGTCATTTTAGAATAAAGAAACTAAGGTGCAGAAAGGCAGCTAACTTGCCCCATGGTCACCCAGGTGACAAGAGGCAAGGGTGGGTCCAGGGCTCATGTTTCCTAGCCCTGAGTCATGTGCTCTTAAGTCCAGCCAACGTGAGCACGTCTGCAGGTTAGGAGTGTTCAAGGCAGTCACCTGCACTGTTGCTTCCATGATTCTTCGGGGAAAAAAAAAAAAAGCCTTTACCAAACATCCAGAGGCGATCCTAGGCGCCCTCATCCTTATCATCTTAGTTAATCCCCATAATTCCTTTTCTACGTGAAGAAACTAAGGCTCTAAGATGTTAAATAAGAGCTAATGAGAGTCAGAGCCAAGGCTTGATTATCTGAATAAAACTTGAATTAAATAGCATTACATTAAAACATATTGTGTAGCCTGGGATGAAGATGTCATGGGAGAGTTCGAGTGTGGGTACGTGGGGTTACAAGAGGGTGGAGTGTGTCTCACCAATTACTGCGTAGCCCCCAGGTAGGATCTTGTAGATGATGCCGTCAAATAAGATACCATCAGGGAATAGTATGGCCATGATCTCTCCCACCAGCCTTCCAAACGCAGCTCCTGGGGAGAGACAAAGGAAGAAGGAAGGTGTTGAGAGATCCAAGGTCCTTATCCTCTGTTTTTTTCAGAGCCAATCCCTCCTCAGGCACTAAGACCAAATACAAGCCCCCAGCATTCCCGGTCTTTCCTTACTTTCCCAGGGCGCTAGATTGCAGCCATCAGTAAGATCCCAGACTTCCCATCAGAACTTACCGAGCACAAACACAGGCATGAAGCCTCCGCAGGGTATGGGCATAGTGGTGGACACGATGGACATCCAGAACTGGGGTGAAAAGAGATGTCAAGACACCCTCTCAACTCTGCCCAGAACACACATACACACTCAACCCCCTTCCCACTATCCTCCTCCTTCCTTCTTCAAGAGTTATAGAAATCCTGGGATAGCTTATCCTTCTGGTAGCCGTCTTGTCTGTCTCCCTCCCTTCCTCCAGAAAAACATGGGACGCTCAGGCTAAGAGATCACCAAAGACAACACCGCAAGACGATTCCTCCAGATGGTTAATCCCAATTGTTCCTACTTGCAGTAATAATATTTCCCTTTAGGCAGTCAAAACAAGGACTGGAGCCCTAGAGGACTCCTTTGTCACTGACCCAATAGGCCCTAGCCCACTGTAACCTCTTAGCCCAAAAAGGTCCTCTCAGCAGACCAGCCTGAAACTCTTGAACCTGGAGGATATCTTTTCCTGGCCAGATTATGTTTCTGAAAAAAGACCCCCCAGTTCTAAGTGGCAGACACCTTAAAGTCATCGTGACTTACTGTGTGACTGACTTAGCTTCAAGATGGTCATTTACGAGGCCATATGTATGGCAAACCTCAAAAGGGAACCTGGAGTGAAGACTGTCCTGCCCCAGCCATTTCCTTTAACATCAAATCACCTTAGACAAAGGATCAGAAAACAGATCTGTCCTGACCCTACTGGAAGAGCACACTGAGAAAGCTGACAAAATCGGCCAGTATAATAGAAAAAAAAGCTGTCCAAGGCCAATGTTGCCAGGTAGTGGTCCTACAAAAGTTGAGATGATTTCAGCAAAAGCAGTATGTACATTCTACGGCAAAGAACACACAAGAATTGAGAAATAGAGTGGGAAAAGGAGTAGTGGTTGAACTTTCGAAATTACTGTCAAAGAAATTAAAATAAGAAACATGATACATAAATTAAGCAACAGGTTTACATATCACTTCCAAAATAAGTAAGACAATCTTAGAAAAAGATCTCAAACTGATTTGGTGAAAGATGACAGCAGCTAAAGGTCAAAACAAATTGCCAGGATGAAAATGTTTACAATTTAAAAACTACACCAACTTTAACGTAAACAAATGAGAAATAAATGTCTTAATTTTTTGAACCTTACAAAGATTCCCTGGAGCCAGGGCTGACCTCAAGAGGCAATGATAAAGGCTCTGAGAAGCTTCATCCCAGACACTCTGAGATGAGGAAGATACATATGTCATCATGTCAGACTATGACTGTTGAAAACAGTTGAGAACTGCAAAGTCACATGTACAAATGAAGAGGATAAGGATGGAGAATTCCTTGAGTGTGTAGCTTGTTGTCTCTGCCTTGTCTGAGCATTGGCACAATGCTCAGTAAATGTTCAGGTAGCATGTAGAAGGAAGGAAGGAAGAAAGGAAGGAAGGAAGGGAGAAAGAGAGAAAGAAAGAATGAAAGGGAGAGAGATTGGTCAAACAGTATTCATGCAAGGCAAAAAAGCTTCTCAGAGCTAATGTTTGCTTAACATCTCCAACAGCCATGCTTGCAGGAGAACTTGTTTAAACTTGGATGACCAGACAGCACGGGGGGCTGCCCCATCAGACTGGACATGGAGTTCCAGGCACTTGTAGTTTAAGCTTCTTAAGAGATACTGACATATAACATTTTGAGACCCCTTGAACTCTTCTGTCCTATCTCTTTGGAATAAGTACATGAAAGCCACAGGGGATTTTGTAGGCTCAGTTTAATCTGAAAGCTCCAGTAATACGGATAATACGTGGCTGATCGATCTGCTTTAGAGGATGAACTTTAGATTATCCTCCAAGATATGTGTAAGAACAGAATCAGGATCAGAGGACACTGAAGTTACCAGCTCCTAAAGCACAGAAAACGCCACTTGAGATTCGCAAACGTTTTAAGCTACTAGCACATGAAAGGGAAGATCGAGAAGCAGTGTAAGTAAGTGATCTGGAACACAAATAGCCCCCAAGATTTTAAACACCCAGTTCTAGAGAACTGGGAAACTAGAGACCCGTTCTCACAGATTTTCCTCTGTTTAGACCCTTCACAAGAAGGAACCACAGGAAGATCAGGCAAGAAGAATTCTACAGAGCCTCCGGCTGGGTGGAGAACTCGTGATACTAGGTAGAAACGGTAGACTTAGTAAAAGGGAAACTGAGAAGCTGTAATTATATTTATGCTTCTTGTAAAAGCGCCAGACTTACAACAAGATGGCACTTTCCATGTCTTAAGATTGAAGAAGATGGAAGTTCCCTTCATCAATGCCTCCAAAGAGCTGGACTGAGACCCTGATCTGTGAGCACTGATAATGCCAGAAGACCACGCAGGCTAAATTTCATATCAGGCTGGAAAAACAGTTCTGGTCACTTTCAAAATTTTAGCTTGGCTTGCCCACGCTTTGGAAATAATAAAGGTATGCTTATATGTCTAATGATAGGACAGTGAAAATGCTGGAAGCAGTGATAACTAGGTAATATCATGGATTTATAGCAATGAATGGTTTTATGTTTAAAATATTATAGAATATAATAGGCCAACTGCAAACAGTCGGGCTTGAAACACAGCCCCAAAGGTGTGAGTTTCTTTTCTTGATTCAGTTATGACGTAAACATGATCAAGGATATAATTCAGTGAGAAATTAATAATAGTGCCATATAGCTGAGTCCTTCTCTATAATCCTTGGTTTCTCAGAATAAACTTGAATCCGTGAAGTGGAATCCAGATATATACTCGGGAATCTGGGGAAGTGAGGTGAGGTGTGAAGGAAATGTTGAAAATATATACCGAATTCTGTTTCTCCAAAAATTTTCAAACGCCTAACATTTCAAAAGTATATATCATTCCAAAGTTACCATATAGCTTAGTCTATGATTCCATTTGTTTTTAATTTGGGGGGAGATAATCATATTTATTTGTTTAGTTATTTTTGATGGAGGTAGTGGGACTTGAACCCAGGACCTCACGCATGCTAAGCATGTGCTCTACCACTGAGCTATACTCTCCCCCCATATAGCTCAGTCTAGACTAGTATCAGAAACACAATTATTATCATTGAACAATAAATTCTGAGGTGCCATCAAAAAACTTGGACGTGGTTACCAGATGGGTCTGTGTACTCAAAAACAATTATAGAATTTTTAAAAAATGCCTATAATGAAAAAGAATATGAAAAGGAATATGTACATATGTATAACTAAATCACCATGCTGCACACCAGAAATTAACATAATGTTGTGAACCAACTATACTTCAATAAAAAATTTTTTAAATTAAAAAATAAAAACCAATGAATTGCAGGACGTCGGGGTTTATAAATTAGAGAAGATTACTATCATGAAATCCCAAAAATCAAATTCCTAACAAGACACTGAGAACTTCTTTATGACAGAAATATCAAATCTTTTGAAGGGAGAAATCAAAATGATCTAATTAATAAAGCAGATGTTCCAAATTTTTGAGCTGTAGACTCAGTTAACCCACCTGGAATGGGATGGGAAAGAGCAAACATAAATATAGCTTCCAGAGACCCACAGCAAATCCTGAGAATGTACATGACAGCGTTGGAACCTGGTGTGTCAAGCACCTGGTAGCTCTAATCATAAGATCATTGACAAGCACACTAAATGAACAGCAAAACACAAAGAAGGAAAACTTTAAATAATCAACCATAAGCATAAGATTTGTCAAAGCTCAACAATCAAGTATTATATATTTGGCACATAGTAGGTACATAATAATATTTATTGAATAAATGAATAAATAACCCACTACAGCTCTTAGAATATGAGTGTAACTTAGTGACTTATATCCTGGGGAAATACGGACTCACAATAAGTGTCAAGAATAAGTTAATGGCAAGGCATTAGAAAACATGAAAGTTCAATGTGGACAGACTTTCAAATGAGAGCCCTAATACGCAGAGGAAAATGCTGGATTATTCAGGCAAGACATACTTTAATAATAAGGTAATCACCCAGAAAGGGGAGTGGGGGAAGCAATCAGCATCTGAAACAGATGTCACAACCAAGGATGGAAATAAAAATAAATTTGCAAAAGGCAGTAATGGAGAAGTCTGCAAACACCTGACAGGCAGGTAAGGGAAAGAACGCATGCACGTGAGATCAGCTTTTGTTTCCTAGTTGAAGTTAGAAGAAACTGGTTTAAGAATAGCAAAATCTTCCCAGCCTCACTACCTAGATAGAGAATAATAACATTTATAAAAATTATTTATAGTCACTCATAAAATTGATTTAAATATTTTATTCCTTTTGTAATTCTAGAAAAGAGATGACCCACTAGACTGGGGGAAAAATGGATATGTAAATCATCTAAATTGATAATCAGACACATGGAGAATGAAGCTCCTAATTATCTAATAGGCGGAGGGGTTTGGTTAATTTATTTGAGGTTTTTACAGTTATCTGTATTGCTAAACTCTATCTTGTCCTTATTTACTTGGCTGCTGTGACGTATCAATAATTTAGCAAGCGGAACCTTTAGAAGGGTTACAATAATTATGGCACCATCCCTAAGTTGACATGAATGGAACAATGAACCCAGGCTGGTTCACTTCTACAGATGAGCAACTTACTTATGCTCCGGTTTCCAAGCTATTTCTCTTCAGGTTGGACGAAGACCAAATGAAGTTTTAGCCTCCCCTCCCCTCCCCTGTGCAAACCCTGGTTCCTAGATTGGAAACAGAAGCTCGGGAGTCAGGAGTGTAGGTACCTTCATGATAAAGAAGAGGAGGATGATGACGACAACATTGACTTTGGGGTGGATCCACACAGCAGACCGGCCCAGGCTTTCCGGGTCCCCTACGTGTTTTACCCACGTATTGTTGTCAAACAGGGAACTGATGGCTTCACGAGGCATCAACTGTGAGAGGAGGAAGCAAAAGGGGGCAGTTCTCAGGGATGTTCAGTACTTCCATTTTTGTAAGAGAACCGATTCCCCAACTCATTTTTCGTGGGATCCTTTTGCTTTTTTCTCAGGGAGAGACTCTATCCTCGGGCACAAGCACCCAAGTTCAGAAGCCTGAGGGACGTCTGTGCTGCTTCCTCTTGTCTCTGTGGCCCAGCCCCAGCTAGTCCCAGTCATGTGTTCAGTGACCTGACCCCCTGCCCCAGGCTCCCTTGGAGCTGACCTCTCCGGCCATGAATTGACCCATTCCTGGTGGAAAGGTGAAGGAGGCGATGACAAAGGTAACAATTCCAGGATACAGCAGGCGGCTGAAAAAGAAACAGAATGAAGCCTCATCCTGGTTTAGCACCACACTGGACTCTGGTCTAAGCCCAAGTTTCCTATCATCCATTGTAGTCCAGGTCACTGCACATGGACCTTCTCTCCACCAACAAGCAGCCTTCAAAGGGGAAACCACGCCACTCTTCCCGAGGAGACTGTCAGGGCTTCCATATTTTATCACAAGCCACCTAGAGGCATTTAAGGTCTTCCACAAAGATTAAAAGGGAGGAACTCTTGGAGAAACCAGAAAGTAAATGGGTAGGGCAGAAGAAGGGCGGTGACTCACTGCTTAGCAAGAAACTGGCTGAGCGCCTTGTTTCTTCGGACGCCGAGCATGACTTGGCGATGCAGATACACAAACACAGCTCCCAGGAACCCACAGCAAATCCTGAGGATGGAAGTTACACACAAACGAAGCCCTCGTCCCTCGGACCTAGCCACCGCAGGGAAACAGATACCAGGCACCCACCCTCCCCTTCTACCCACCTCCCCTCGACAGTTTACACTTTGTGCAAGCCCGCCCCCACTTCCCAGCTTGGAGCCCTTCCAATCCAAAGCCACACCCCACCCCTGGCTCACCAGCCCCAGGGCAGACAAACCCACTGACCCGATGACCGCAAATGCTGGGAGTTCCTGCAGATCAAAGGGGAAATCCATTCGGAAATTGGTTCTGAAGAGAGCGGTGATTGTGACTATAGGAGGGAAAGGCCAAGGATCATGGTGGGAGCATCACGAAACCCGCCAAGGGGGAACAAAGGTCATCAGCTTTCAGGATTAAAGCTTCCTCCAAGGCCAATGTCTCCTCTTCTGTTTAGCTTCCTTTTTCTAATGCTACCAGCACAAACGCTGCTCCCCTATCCTCTTCCTATGCCCCTAGGCTTTGTTCCCACTTCCCAAATAATGCCATCCATTCCTTTTCTGCAACGGCCCTCAGCTCCCCTCCAAGCCCAGTTACCAGCCTCCATGTTTCACACTGTCCCCTCCCTAGGGCTCCCCTGTTACCAGCATCCTTGTTCCACACGGCAAGCACTCGGAAAACAAAGGCACTGAACGTGGCTGCAAAGAACCCCCGCCAGTAGTTCCTCACAGCGAAGTAGGTAGAGGTGACCTCGATGCTAAACAGCACGCCTACAGGGACAAGGAAGTAGGGAGGGTCAGGTGCAGACAGAAGTGTGAGGCTCTCTCCCAGCCTCCCACCCCGGGAGCTGAGGAGCTTTTGCTGAAACTTGAATCATGAGAAGCCGTCGCGGGAAGCGATGATCTCTTGGAGTGTCCCACACTCTCAACCATATGCCTGCTCGTGCTAGCAGGTTTTTGCAGGTCAGGGATGTGGTTCAGCAAGGTACAGAGATGATGGGAAATGAGGGGTTTTAACACACAGCAAGTGAGGGTCAGGTGGTCATGCCCTCTCCATCCCTTAGAAAGCAGGGTAGGGTGGGATTCACAATTGTCTGATATCCACGGGGATTTAAATGTTGCTGAAAACTTCCTGCAGAAAAGTTACGAGAGAGAAAGCTTCCAGAGCTGGCGCTCACCAGAGGGCCAAGCAGAGCTCAGGACTCACGGGGACTCTCCTTAACAGCCGCTTCAATCTCTCCTCCCTCCCCCTGGGCACCACGCACCCCAGTGCAACTTCTTAAGGAAAAACAAGAAAAATGAATAGGAAAGGGTTTTGTAAGAGCTGACAATACTGAATATTGCAAGAAAAGAAAGAGGATTTGTCTCACTTAAAAAAAAACCCATTAAAAACCCAGGCGAAAAGAAACAAAGCCAGGGGGAAAACCAAGAGGCCAAAGAAGTTAAAAACAGAAAGGTGGAAAGGTGGGAGAGGCAGAAGGAAAGCTAAGTTGTACTGTTTCTGACAGTAGATCCTGGAGCAGAAAATGAGGAGGCAGACATATAAAGAGCACGAGTTGGTGGAGACAGAGCAAGGACGCTAATAAGGGCATAAAAGACAGACTCAAGAGTTGCGAAGAAAATAATCCTTAAATATATTAAGAATAAGGGAGGGGATAAAATGATTATAAATCAATAAAAATGTAAAAAAAAAAGTTAAAAAAAAAGAATAAGGGCGGGGACTGTGATTAGATGCCAAGTCAAAAATGAAGACAGAATCACCTATCACCTGGTTAAGCCTCATCTTTATCAAAAATGAAGAAGGAAAACCAGGGAAATGCAGCCCATAGTTAGATGAACAGAGAAGCAGCCCAGCCCCAAGAAAGCCCATGAACTTGGTAAGGTCCCTCTCCCCTTGTTCTCCCTGGGGCTCGGGCTGGCCGGCCCTACACCGCCACCTCCTTCCCTCTGCTGGTGGCATCTCACATCTCTCTCTTCTCCCTGTTCAATATTCCAAAGTCACATCCCTTGAGTCCCTCAGGATACCACCCTCTCTTCCGTAGGTGACAGTCACTGGTTATAGGAAGTCATTTATGCCTCGGGGAGGGTGGCCTCACGGTTACTCCCTCGTGGACAGCTGCTGCCTTTGGGCAGAGGATTCCTGATGGTTAGCCCAGTGTCACTACCAGAGCGCTTGCCGCTTTCGGATACAGTTATTTATTTACATCGCTGAGTTCCCCCAGGACTGAAAGTTCCTTGGAACCCAACACCTAACACAGAGCCTGGTACAGGGCTCAACGCTTGTTCTATGTATGAACAGAGAGGAGGGGAGGGGAGGGGAAGGAAGAAAGCCAGCCGGAGAGAATAGATGGGGCACAATTGGCCCTCGCCCCTGCGCCTCCAGTCTCATCAGGTAAGGCCGCTGCCTCCTGGGCCTAAAAGGAGGATTTGACACAGCGGGGAGTCCGGTGGAGCAAGCCTCTCTTTCCCTTTAGCAGGAACAAAACCCAGGTTGGCTTTGGCTAAACTATGAAACGCATGAATATTTTACAACCCATTTTTGAAATCCGAGGCTAGGTTTTCTTTTCCCATGGTGTGGTTCTGGGACACTCTCCCCAACAGTCTGTCACTGCGTACTTCGGAATGAGAGCTAATTTTAGTATTCGCCTGAGCCAAACAGAAAATGTGCTGCTCAGAGGAAACAAAGCACTAAAAACACAAACAGCATTTGGAAACTCTCAGAACTCTTAGGTTCCGTCATTTTGCTCTCTCCTCCCACCCCCCAGGTTCCTCTATCTGCTCCTCTGGCGCCTTTGTCTCTGCCCAGAGCCTTGTCCTTGCTCTCTGACTCCTGCTGCTCATAGGCCCGCTAGCTCAATTGCATCCACGCCCACGGCTTCAACTAACACCTCCGTGCTAACCTACTGGTTAACAACGTCCCGTATTCCGCTCATCTCCTGAACTGCGGACTCACTGACCCAGCAGCCTATTTGACATCACTTGGATCCACCACAGGAACTTCAAACTCAACATACTCAAAGCGAAATTTATCAACTCCCCCAGGCCTGTTTCACTTCCTGTATTCCCCTATCTTGCTCGCAGCACTGCTATCCACCCCATTTTCCTTGTTATAAAATTGGAAGTTAGTCTAAATTGCCCCTCCTTTCTTATCTTTCATATCCTCGCATAAATCAGCCACCAAGTGCCATCAACTTTATTTTCTGTCACCCACATATATCATGCTGTTCTCTATCTCTTCTGCCTCTGCCCCGTTCAGTCTCCCACCATCCAGCAACAGGACTATAACCATAACAAGAAGACTCTTGTTAATCTTGGATAAATCCTGTTAATCCACAGGCCAGTTCTATCTCGCACATATCTGCCAAAGCTGGCCACATCATTTCCTTGTTTGAAATTCTTCCATGGCTCCCCTTCACCCACCACAGCATTTCCCTAAGTCAAGTCCATGAGATAATGAATCCCGTAAGAAGATCCTTGCAAAAGATTCTGTGGGACATGCTGTATGTGAGCCATATTTGGGATATTCACAGTGCAGTTCAGCACATCAAACGTTCTGATAAATTCTCCAGTTAAAAACACTGTCTGTTTAACACAGTATTTTCCAACGTATCTAGCCTTGGAACACTGTTTACATGTTAAATCTATTAACACCATGAAGAACTGTGTTTTGTAAAACACATTTGGGTAAATTCTAGCCTAAAGAATGAAATCTACATTCTTGTGCATTTCCTATGAGGATCTTCAGAATTCAGCCCCCAGGTACCTGTTCAGACTCATGTCCTGTCAGTCCTTCCTCTGAATCTTCTAGCAATACTCATCTGTGGTAATGACAGTCCCTTACATCTTTGTGATGCTGTTTCTTCTGTCCAGAAGACACTGCCCTCACGGTCTTCCTTGCACTTTGCCCACACTGCCATCAGGACGCTTCTCTGAGTAGGTTGTGAGGGTCTGTTTGCCTGCCTGTCTACTCTTTCAGCCATGGGTGCCTGAGAGCACAGGACCCAGCACAGTGTCCAGAGAGCTCGCGGCAGAGGGCACATATAGAAGCAAAAAGATGTTTGTCATTTTAGCCAAATGTTGACATAGATTCCTTTCACTGGTATAAGGAATTAAGAGTTGACTACATAGTGAATAAATTATTCTAATACTAATTTTTGCTTTCAGAATTAGTCTATGTTCATAAAATAAAACCAATCAAGTAATGTTACCTGCAAGTCCATGTAATATTTGCCACTTAATACAGATATCCTGAAAATGGCATTTTAACTTTTCAATGCTTGATAATTTTCTTATGTCAAGAGCCATGTTTGGTCTGCAACTTTCCTATTTGCCTTTCCTATTTCCTACATAGGATCATGATGAACCTTCCTCATTCATCCCAGAAATTCCAGTTTTATGCAAAAAAATTTATATGCTTATCACTTTAAAAAGAATCTGATTAAAAAGAAAAACAACAAAATTCTGCCTGTCTAAAAATGTTCTTCAGACTTTCTGGATTTGTAAGGCAAAAGACCAAATAAAGGCGAAAGTGGGTATAAATGTACGTGTGAACATTTAACGTGTGCAGAAATTCAAACATGCTACCCTCCACTGCTGGGGACTAATGACTTTAATGACAAGAGCTGACGACAGAAGTGCAAACAGGATGCTAGCTGACGCGTTCGGTGACCTGCCCTCCCTCCGCTGCGGGCACTGGTGTGGGGTCAGTACAAGTGAGCAGAGACATTTTCATTCACTTTAAACTTTTATCCATGTATCATTCCTGAGCCAAGTCATCTGAGCTTCATGAAGACTCTTCTACATAAAGACTGATTACATTTCATAATGTAATCAAAAGTGTCCTCTAACAGCTGGTGCATTTAGAAGCACATGCCTTTCCTGCAATTTTGCCTCTCCAAATGTCAACATGGCGTGTCCTTTTTATCACCCATGAATCAAATGAATGATCTATATCATCCCTGTTCTCTTAATCTGGTTGCAACTGATATCTCTGAGTAAATAAACAGATACAGCTTTCTCTGACCAGGCCCACTGGTTAGTCATCCAGGGCAAGGAAAATAACCTGAAAGGTCGCCCTTCGTCTAACACGTGTAGAAAGAGCTTGATGTAGTTTCAAGTTGCTAAAAGGAATAATGACCCTTTAACTCCCATCTGTAGCCCTCATTTAAAGCTAACCATTAATCTAAATAAGATCCACCTAAACTCCCGTTCCTTAACAACATACAACCAAAGGTAAGTTTCCCTTGGAGAAGGAAGCACATAGAGATGTTTATTATACTTCAGTTACAAACAACAACAACCACAAAATGACTGACTAAAGAGAAAAAAAAAGAGGAACATACATAGGAGTCCCCTGTTAGAAGATGTAAGGAGTGAAAGGCAAAAATATCCAAGAATACAGAAAGATTTTAGTAGAAATAGAGGAACCAGAGAGGCTGCCTGACTTTTCCTTCCTGGCTCCACCACTTACTAACAGGATGACCTTGCTCAAGTCACTCTCTTTTCTCTCTTCTTTAATATTGATCTCATACAGCTTTGGGCAGAAATGGATGTGAAGTCCTTAGAACATTGGCTGCACATAGTAACTGCTCACTAAAAGCTCTTCTTGTTATAATCTTGTCTTAACGGATAATAGTCGTCCTTGGGGATGCTGACCAAAACTGTGTGGGGAGCAGACAGCCAAGAGGACTGCTGTAGGTGGGGGTAAATCACTTGCCTCCAAGTGGCGTCCCAAAACAACAGCCGACTCCTACCGCACAGCCCACCGTCAGCATGTCAGTGTAATAGTATGGCTGCTACTAGGGGAGAGACAGACACAGAGGCAGATGGGAGGGGTGGGGCAGGGGCAGAAGAGGGAAGGAGAACAGGCAAGGGTGGGGAATAAGGCAGAAGGAGAGGCTTAAGTCACAGGGAATCCCAGTGGCCCCATCTCCCCCCAACCATCCCAGGCCAAGAGAAACTCAGTTCCTATGGCAAACAGGAAGTGACCTCATAGCACAAGGCCAAACATAGAAAATGAAATAAACGTTAGGCAAATATATGCAAGGAAGGTAAGCCAATAAATGGTCACCAGAGTGGGGCTAGAGATGTGGGCAATCAGGGCAAAAAGTGTCAATAGCCAGGGAGACAGGAAAGGACTGCAGACAAACAGCACCAATAAAGTTGGCAAGAAACAGCCACCAGCCTCAAAGGAACACACGGCCAGCCCTCCGGCAATAAAAGCCTGGGTGGCTGGAGACCAGGGGCTGTGATCCAGCTCACTCCCTGAAGGCCCACCCACCAGTCCCTTAGCGAGCACCCCTCTCCGCCCCGAAGCTTGTGGCAGCCACCCCACCCCCCTTCCAAGGCGTGCTCAGGCCACCGGGGTAGGGAGGAAGTGGGACTTGCCTCCGACGGGCGCTGCAAAGCAGCACCC